ATAAGAGACAGATATATATATATATATATATAAAATTGTTTAACTGTGTACACATGTTAGGTATGCATCACAAACTATTGCATAAAAAATACAATTTAAGCTCGAGCTTGTGGAGCAGAAACCTCCCAAAAATTAATTTTGCTCCCTGAAGGAAGAAAAAAAAAAAACCTAATTTGAAACAAGCTTTAAAGCTGTATCATCATTATCTTCCAGTACTGTGCATATGTTAAACCTCTATTAATAGATTATCCACGTACCATGACTATGACAACAACTACAGTATGACAATGGGTTTCCATCTAAGTCATTGTGTTGATATAGAACTCGATTACAAACACATAATGAGGCACTAATAATTATATTTGTGTCTAAGCAGTCTAATGCACAAAATTTTGCTAGAGCTTTCATCCACACAGGCGACTTTCTCAAGCGGCTACAACTCAATAAGAAAGGCTTAACTCAATGTTCAAGTTCCTGCTCTTTATTGTCATAAACAATACCTGAGATTCTTTTTTAAAGGGTTAAAAATAGAATGAATGCAATTTATTACGGTATGTCTCATAGTAGTAATAATCTGTTGGAATAATTAATAAGGAGACAAAATAATATTAATTAATTAAACTGACTGTGCACCAGAAGCTGGGGTGACTTTCTCATAAACCAAATTTTGCTAAATTAATTAGCTGACACTACTAAAGTCTCAATGCATTGCATTTAGTTTCTTAATCAATATTTATTGATTTGTTTTTGTTTCTGAATTCCTGAATATAATTAACAAAATCAATAGTATCAAACACATGCAATATTAAAGACCAAAAATAGTCAAAGTTGATTCAATATTTCAGTATTGGATATTTATTAAGTCAGTTGTGACGTTATCACATTCATTTGCACATATTTTCCCATCCCCGATCAAGCGCTAATTTGATACAGTGTCTCCGATTTTGAAAAAAGCTCAATGAAAGCTGGGGCTTTACATTGCAAAAATATTTTTTAGCTAGCCTAGCTCTGAACGTACATAGCGGACCTAACAAATCTCGCTCAATGGCACTGGTTAACACGGATGAAGACCACCATTAAAAATTGCCTTCAGCCCTGCAGGCAAATTTTTTCAGGAAATAATAGCTCCATTGGCCTCTATTCTCTAGAGTCCTCAGAACTTGACTATAATACTGCATTACAGTAGTGTTATTAATCAGTCACACCTTGGGCCTCTAATGGACTTGGCTTTAAGTTCCATTTTTTATTTCATTTAGCATGCATGTCCCTATGCTACAGTAGGAGTGTACAGGTTCTGACCATCTACCTCACCTTGTTCTGTCGTTGAAAGTGCTGCAAATCTCAGGGGCGGATCCAGAAATGTCCAAAAGGGGGAGGCCGGAAGGGGGAACCGAAAGTTGGGCCGATTGAGACAACACTGTCATAGGGGTCCGGGGCATTCCCCGCGAAATGTTTGTGTTCTAGACGCCCGAACATAACATTTGAGGCATTCTGGGCTAATTTTCTATGGTACATCACAGCGATTAATTAGATCGATAATAAGGAATTTTACATATAAAGTGTCATATCCGGCATACTAGAGGTACAATTTCCCCAAATTTTACCACCTCAACCACAACTGTGGTGGGGCTGAGATGCCTGTCAGGGGCGGATCCAGAAATGTCCAAAAGGGGGAGCCGAAAGTTGGGCCGATTGAGACAACACTGTCATAGGGGTCCGGGGCATTCCCTGCGAAATGTTTGTGTTCTAGACGCCTGAACATAACATTTGAGGCATTCTGGGCTATCATTTTTTTCTTTTTTTTTCCTTCTTTTTTTACCTCCTAAAAGGGGGGGTGGGAATGGGGGCCAGGCCACCCCCCCCCCACTAAATCCGCCCCTGAATCTGTGAAAAGGGAGCATTTCATTGCACTACGATATGACCTACATATATGGACATACAAAAACGCTGAATGCTCGTCGCCAGGATTCTAGAATGCAGTTTGTACCTAATCAACATTGCGCAAAGAATGTATGATGGTCATGGATGAGTGAATCCGTCCTCGTGTCATATCGCCGTGCAAAACGAAAGCTCCCTAGTAAGGCTCAGTTCTAGTACGACCTGAGGTTATGATAGAACTTTCTAATAATGTTTGCACGAGCTATGTCTTCCTTACTGATTATAATCAATGAGAATTTACTAACACATATTGGTATTGGAAACATAATTACAGAGAGATCAGATTGCTGATTATGTCACCAGTTAATAAAGCAATAATTACATTTTTACGACTAAGAGGTAAATCAAGGTTAGCAAATATAGTCCAATATATTATCAGTCCGTATATTGTTTGTATTATATTTGTATACAATACAATGCTACTGGGATGAATTATAGTCTCCTCTTATACTTTTGAGAAGTTACATAAGATTCTCATGGTCTTTACTGTACAGCAAATGTGGTCTTTTAGAAAAATATAAGTAGGCCCCTATTCATTCTGGGATAGTCTATAGAGAGGTCTTTAATTAGAGAGACATGTAAAAGATGTTACACTTTCAAGAGTTCCAGTGACCCTTGGCCTACTGAGGCTTGAGCGACTGATGACTGAGAGCAGCTAGCTTAGTAGGGTTGTAGTCTGTAGAAAAATAAGGGTGGGTGATAAGACATTTTAAGGGTGGGTAGGTAATAACATTAATAAACTGAGCTCTAAGTATTAATAACAGTGGATTTTAAGGAATGAAAAGTGAGTTAATAAGTGTGCGTTGAGGGCCATGAAATTAGCTTAGACTGGGCAGAAAACTTCAAGGCTGGGTGGCCTCGCCCACCTCTGCCCACCATAAATATCTCCATACTCAGTCGGCTACACTGGTGGTAGCTGAACAGTTGAGATCTCTTGCTCCCATGTTCAATTTCGATTGCCGTCTCTTTTGTAGGTTTATGTTGCTGTGTACAGTGTCTTTGCAGATTTAATGTATAATATAAGATCAATCAACTAACCAGTTATAGTACATGACCAGTTAATAATACATTACAGTGACCTCTGCCCCAGGGGGGTCACTCAGAATACATCTAGGTACCCATGTGTGTGACCATGCTTCCACAAAATGGCCTAATAAAGACAATAATACGATCCCCTCAAGCTGTATCCCTCACATCCTCTTGCTATTAGTACAGTATTATTCTCATACGGTATCCAGGCATGTTGCAGGGAATGTATTCCACCCTAGTATGGGACACTGCACTATGAGTACAGTAACTCTGCACCGGACCAACTCAGAGGGTAATGGTAATTATTTTTTTACATACCTTAATGCAAATTAATGGTTTAACAATGTTTCAAATTATACAAATTCAAGATTTTTTTATTCATGTCCTCTTGGAAAATCAGTTGGTACATTACATCACAGAACAGTGTGCAAGACAAAACAACAAATTATAATTACCGTAGGCACTAAAACGTATTTCAAAATGGATAGTGGTACGAATGAGTTGAGATCTACTTGTTTTACAGGTTTGTGATTTTAACTTTTTACCCGAGTACAGTAAGATGCGTTCAGTGGGTGGGAATATTCTTTACTTTAATTATATGGAGTGTAGTCATTTCTGATTTTGAGAATATTTTAGTTTTTGTTCCAGAAAGTTTGGAAAAATTTCAAAATCTGATTTTGAGAAATATCTACACATATTATAATGCACAGAAGTTCATTCAAACTTCAAGTGTACTTTATGCCATAAATATGTATATTGATCCAATTCAGATGGGATACAGAATGTGTCAATTTCTAAATGCCAAATAAAAAATGATAATAAATATTTGAAAGGGCCTGCAGTGGACTAACCTCTGGTCGAGATATTCTATATTCCCTGCTGTACTGAGGTGTTTGGTTCAATCTTGCCATAGGCACTTTAGGGTCACTGACCTTCTGTAAGTCTATTTTTATTACTCCATGGTCAGTGCATTATCATTTAAATAAACAGAACACATTTATTTTAGTCTTGACTACAGTATGTGTACAGTAAAGATTGCATTACTACTAAGAAAGAGGATAAAAATAAAGATCAGAAATAAATTTCATGACACTGCTGCTATCAGCCAATAAGCTATCTTGCAGATTCAAGCACTGTACATGTGGCTATGTCAAAGGTAAATTCATAAACAATGCGCATGGCATACACATCATATAATATGTAATTACAGTATGTTAATATAATTACATTAATTTAAACTGTTAACTAAACAGATAATGGTCATTATGGTATAGTGTACAGTATTAGGTGAATAAAATATTTAAAAATGATTTAAAGTAAAGTAAAAATTTAATCTTTGACTTTCAAGTGCACTTGAAACCATGGCTTAACCAAATATTGGCCCAGGTCCATTAAAATATGAATTTACCATTCTGTGTTGCATAGCCATGTTTGAAATATGTCAGGCAATTAGGCCCATAACAAATATTATTAGTTTACCAAATCTAGGCTGGAAAAGTGATGATTTTTTATTTTGCTAAAGCCAAACGTCACCTTAAGCTGGTGCATTGATATTCAAAGTTAAATACTGTACATGATTAAGATAATACAAACAATATCTACTAATTTAAAAAAACAAATACTTTTTTTTTTCCAGTACCAGACATGTGTGTGAGGGTGATAAACTAATAATTCTTTTATTGGGCCTTACAGTATATATTTGTAGGTTTACAGTAATGAGATAGCAACTTATGATTGAACAAGGTTGTCTTTTCATAGGGAACTTCACATATAGACATACAGTTGGTATTGTGTCCAACATAATGACGGCTTCAATTTAACAATATTGTTATCAACAATGTTATTGCCACTGCCAGTAGACCTGCCAAGTCCCATGCATTATGCTCAATACTTGTACATCTGTGGCATTTCCAAAGCTCTCAGGCTCAAGGACCAAATTCTCAAGCATACTGTAATATTGTCAACTAAAAAGGTAGGTCTATTGTAGCTTTCTCACTAAACATTCACCAAACTCCCCTAGATCTATTTTACAGCAAATATCATTCTATCATAATAAAATGAGCTGCTCTAACTTTGAGGATACGTTGTTGCTTTGCCAAGCACTGTCAGATAAGATCAAAGAATAGTAATGCTGCACAAGATAAGTTTGCATAATGTATAAATTATTCTCAAGAGAAGGAAAATACAATTACTAACATAGAATGTTCAGACATCTAGGGAAAAAAATCCCTAGGGAGCATTCCCACGATTCCCCTAAAGGAAAGGGTTCTTTATAAAAAAAAAAGTCTCACATCAAAATATATAAAACTGGAATACCTGTATTAGGAAAATTAAAATATTGTAAGATATGATAAACTTTAATGCTCCAAAAAAGGAAATTCAGTACTCATATTGACAGTAAAAACATTGAAACATGGTTAACTGCAGTAAAATACAATAATTACAATAAAATATCAAACAATAAGATAAACAACAATATAAATATATTGAGGTTCGCAACACTCTTTTAATTTAATGATTTAAAAAAACATTGAATTTTTTATCTTGCTAAAATTTTTATTAATAATTTTACTTTGTTTATTAGTTAATGACACATTTTGAGTAGTTAATAATTTTTTTAATATCCTGGGAAGTGAATGCTTGATTGAGTTGTATGCCAAAAAGTTTGGAAACCGCTGATTTAGAGTGAAAAAAAAATGTATACATACCAACCACCAATTGGTAACGTCTGGAGACTGCCTGATGTTATCTCGGGTCCAGACTGACGATATCGCCCCATTAAATCTTTCATCAAACCATTTAGATTTGCCTTTGACCCAAAGCCGATTGCATGGCTGAGGCGCAACTGGTTTAGGTGGTCCATTTGCAACTGTTTCACCTATTATCGTTTTGGTTGCTGTATTGCCTTTGTTGATGGGAACATTCAGTCCAACCAGATGCTGTTGTTCACCAGTTTCTACTTGTTGTTTATAAATATGCTCTTGTTTTTCTTGTTGAAATGTATTTAGTTGTTGTTGTTGTTGTTGTTTTAGAACCTGTTGCTGCTTTAGTAGATTCTCTTGGTTATGAACATTTTGCGCATTATTTATGATTGGAATATCTTTTTCATTTGGAATGTCCTTCAAATGATTCTCCTCATATTTTTCCGAAGTATTTGAATCCTGTTCTTGATTCCCTATTTGGAACTGTTTTTTATCTCCTAAACTTGATATATTATTTACAATTCTGTGGGAATGTTGGTTGAAAACTTTCAATGGCAAAGCTCCTGGAGATTGCTTCATAATTTCAATTTCCGTAGGCAGTCGAAAATAGTTACCATTTATATAAATATAAGTGAAAAGAAATGATAACATAACTAAAATCAAAATAATCACCAACGTCCTAAGCTTGAAGTAATTCATATTTAAAATTGTTTGGGTTGAGTCCTATTTGCATCCACTGGAAAAACCTACAGAAATGGAGAACAAAAAAGAAAAAAATTATAAATAAACAAAGTGTTAAAAACTTACTAAACACTACTGAAGTTTTAAAAATGAAAATAAAATTGTATTTTAAAACCTATGGTTTTTTTTTCTAAAACTACGTACTATAAATACTGGTAAATGCTAAATTGTTATTAAAAATATTTTTCAAGTTATCACTTCTAAAATTTAAATACTAAACAAGATTATTATATGCTGTGCATATTACACTACAAAATAATTTATTTTTTTAAATTAAAATTCAAGACTTAGTGTTGAATTCAGTTGAATGTGTCACTACCTGTGCTGTGGGTTTGATTGTCAAGAGTTTATATCAACTGCATTTTTGTTGCCCCATATGGGAAGAATGTATTGTAAAATACTGTAGTACACTGTATTGATAAACTAGAATAGTATTTTCTCTTAACATAAATTTGTGAGCAAGGTCTTAGTTAATATGGTATGACCTACAGTAGTCCTTCCTATAATATAAAATCAGAATTCCACAATCAATGTAAAGTAGTATAGCCAGCATTATGTAAATAAATTAATAATGTTCTCGGTAGAGGCATATACAGTATGGTATTCACCAGATGGCATTTCCCACATTGTGTTTACACATTATAATCAACTGATACCTTGATTTTTGCAATAATTTATTTGCATAAAAGAAACTCAATGCTGCCACTATGTAAGAAAGAGAATATGTGAATAATTAATTCTTTTTTATAATAAATGTAATGTTTTTGTAGGGAAAGATGGGTTCAATGACTGCTCTTCGATGGTATAGAGTAGGGGAGGGAAGGAAAACAAGAGATGGAGGCCAATAGATTCATGGAAGGAACTGAGACATCAGGAATAGTGTACGAATTATGGGAGATGTGTTTAACTGGTAGCTCAGTCCACACTAAGAAGCTTTCGAATGCACGACGACAGTAGGGCGTAGAACGTCACATAAAGTCATCTGCGCATGTGAGTATGTTGAGTTCTTATGGTCGTGTGGATTCTAAGATGCAATTTGACCAAATCTACGTTGTGCACAGAATGTGCACTAGGATGGTCACGCATTAGTGAATCCGTTCTAGTGTTGCGTCATCGCGCAAAAACGAAAGCTCCCTACTATCAAATTTTATGACAAAATTGTGTGATGTGCCCATATATGGGCTTGATGTTGTAATTAAAAACCCATATATGGGCATATTACATACAATTTGATAGTGAGTGAGGCAAAGAAAGAAACAAGAAAAATGTCAATTAACACTAGAAGAAAAAGATTAAATAGATGAGCTGTTAGCCTAGTTTCAGAGTTCTAGAGCATCAACTATAGGAGTGTTACCATACAACTTGAGCTTTGAAGTATGAATGATGGAAGAGCTATAAATAAGTGGATCTAAGTGAGCAAGAACAGGATATGGAACGTTGTTTAATATGCTGTTATATCTTTATCATAAACTCTCTACTTGAATATCATCTACAGTATGGTACCTCTGTAGCAAGATAATGATAAACAAATTACAGTAAATTATAAATAGATAACTGAACAACTACACTATGAAGAAAGGATGATTTTTTGAAGAGTGGTGGAGAGTACAAATGTGAATACATCTAACCGTAAGAAATATTTCATTAACATCTGTTCACATTACTGTACTTAACCATGAACAACACTACAGTACAACAGATGAGATAGACTTGTTTTCGGCCAGTGTTTAACTAACTCAAATAGAACACAGCAGGAAGGAAATGACAGATCACTTGCCTACTGAGCCAACTTACAAAATGATTCAGTAATATGAAATGCTTAATAAAAATGTAATGCTTTTGTAATTGAAACATTCAAACACAGGAAATTGTCCTGAATTTTTCTCCATATAATTTAAACTAAACTGTATTTTAAAAATAAAACTACATCATCTGAAAGGGTATATCAGAAAATGAATTTTCTAACCAATTGTACACAGGATAAAGATTAAACTTGCATTTAGTAGGCCCACGGCCTACGCTGTACTGTATCATGTTTGGTTGCCTTCCGGATTGCCTGCCAGCAAGAACAGAATGTTGAAGACACAGTTTGTAATGTCGTAATTTTAACCTACTGATAAGCGCTGCAAGTCTGGCCAAGATGTTGTTAAAAGTACTCAGTAGATCGAGCAATTCTGACTAAAGTAGCCAATCCTCCAACAGTTTATGCAGTTTACAAATTAATCTCATCTGTCTGTGGGATGTGGAAGGAAGTACAACATCCCTATCTATTTTAGAGGGATACATTAAGTACTGTAATGGGTTTCTAAAAGGGTTCTATTTTTTTTTCAAAGGGCATGTGTGAGGGTCGAGAATTAACAAAATATTCTCAACAAGATCATTGGTTCCAAGTTTGTTAAAGTCATTTAATAGATAAAATAATCCTTTTAATCTTGTTTTATGTGACTTTAATTGGAATTATGAATTTTTCTTGTAAATATTATTAATATTAATATACTGTATTATTTAATTATTAGCACCTATGATTTTTTTTTGCAAATGTATTTTTTAATATTGGCAATTTGGAATTTTTTTTGTAAATTTGATTTAATTCTTTAGCAATTTTGAATTTTCTTCATGTACATTCAACTTTTCAATATATTTACAATATAACATGTTTCTATTGAATACTACAAACATACTTGAGTGATTAATCAGAGATAGTTAAAACAAATTTGTTTAACCAAAAACAGGATGCACTAAAAAGTTCAATTATAAACTTGCATACACATTATGGCCTACCATAGTACAGTATACATATTAACATGTGTTTTAACCAATTTCCTAAGTATAGCCAGGCCGTATAAAGTAACACAGCTGGGATGAAAGAAAATGAAATTAATTCAGATGGACAATCCTTACAAAAACATAGTTACGGTCACAAGTTAGTTTCAGTAAACAATAAACCTTGTTTTTTTTTTAGCATTTAAATGTATTACATCTAACATCTAGGGCCTATATCTGGCCTTCACGATTGCAAGACCATACAAATTCCTCTCCTTATATTTTCTTGTTATAATTCAGTACCACACTATAAAAATGGAGTATTCTGTTTTTAAAGTGGATGCATTAAAAAATGATTTCTACTTTCTATTGACTAAATTTTTAGGTGGGGATATATTCCCTCTCCATTTATAATGCAGAAGATGAAGACAAATGAAAAGACAATAAAAATATTATTATAAAAATTCTATATACTGTACATGAATAAATATTGCCTAGCAGAAATTTAACTAAATGGGTTAATAAACACAAACACCACAGATACAAATCTAGGCCTAAAAGAAAGCAAGGATAGGCCTGTCATGCCAAAATTGGTTCGGGCCAAAAGGGTCCGGCGGACAGATTTTGGCTGCCACAATCGGTCCCCCTTGGATAAAATTGTTCCGTCGGCCTTGTCGCTTGTAACGCGTACACGTCTGCTGCCCGTAGGGTATGATTGTTTCACACTCATAATGATGAATTTCCTAGGCCTAGGCGCATCATTTTTGGCAGCCGTGCTTGGCCTAGGTTTGGGCCTAAAATGAAACACAAGACCCTGGGGCGGATGCAGAAGGGGGGATGTAATCGCACCCCCTAAATTGTATATCACACATACTAATTAGATCTCTGTGGTTACCGAAAATCGCTGATAAAATATCATGACAATTTGCGCTTCATTATGACTAGTATAATGCTGATGTGATGATGATGAATTTTACTATAAAAGTGTCATTTCCGGCAATCTACATGTACTTAACCTTATTTTTTCTACGCACCCCCTACCGCCAAATCCTGCATCCATCCCAGAGACTGATTTATTAGTTTTAAATATTACATATTATCGTGTGGGTATTAGGTCATACAATAAAGATAAAGGGGTCAATAATTTCGTCGCGGCATCAAGCAACACAACCAAAACAAAAGGTAAAAAATATACTAAAGTGGACCAACACAATTTACGATCAAATCGTTTAACTTCTTTTCTAACTTTTACACCAAGCGTCTACTGGGCGTGAAGAGCGAAAATATTCATACTAATTTTTTACAATAAAAAATATATAATAATTAAGAGATGAGATATTTATCTATTATTTTTTAATTAAAAACAAATATGAATAACGCTTAAAAATTTTAAAGCCAAAATCGATCCGGCGGACCGATTTTGGTCCCGGACCAAATTTTTCCTGACAGGCCTAACCTGTCTGGTGCTTCATAATACTAGCGTAGCCGAGTCTCGTACACTACCATCTCCTACTGTGTGTGTTGACTAAATGGCAGAGTGCATTCAAGCGTACCACTTACGTAGGGGCGCCTTACTTAGTCAGAGCCCAGGCTAGGCCCTAAGCCTACTTTTATCAACTTGCTGACGCTGTAGTCGGCCTAGCTAGGCCTATTTATTATGTACTTGTACTTACCGTACGTGTCACTCATGTGTTTCTCACAAACCTTTACAGAGTCTTCTAATTTGTAGTGTCATTTTAGAAAACAACTTATTCACTGATTTTAATTTATTATCCACAGTGGGAGATCTTGGCCTATATGTTACTACATTCTCTCAATCTTGACACCTCCTTTTCTAACTTCCTCGCTCATTAGTGAACGTTCCACGTTCCACCGAAGATCGTATAGTAGCGGCAGCGGCGCTATACGATCTTTGGTTCCAGGTTTGGTTCCACTCCTGCATGCATGGCCGACTATTTCGTGACAATAAATTATAGAGGGGGCTATACAACAATTACAAAACACCAACCCACTAATTTTTCCAGATGCTCGCTCGAGTTGACACGCTTGAGTTGGTACTGTCTTTTTACACGTATCAGTTGTTTCACACAACAAAGTTTCGTATCTTCGATTATGGATTCTCGAAGAAAGAGAACGAAAGATAAATATTCGGTTCTGCTTCCTACTTACAATGAAAGAGAAAACTTACCTCTAATTATCTGGCTTTTAGTCAAGTCATTTACGGAAAGGTAACTGCTGCATATAATTCCTAAGTTAGGTAATAGAATACATACGATAGCTATCATAGAATAGGGTTAGCCAGGTGATGTAAAAAGCATAGCCTCCCTACTAGTTTTGCTGGCCGGGTGAGGCCGACACTCCTAGATACGCAGGAAAAGTAGGACTAGGCCCTAGGCCTAGGTTTCGGTAAAAACTCCAATTCAAAACTAGGAAAAGGATCTGCTAGCGTTTATGTTATCTCCATGCTCATCATGATAAATGAGTAATGATAGGCATTTTACAACCCAGTGTTTAAAAAAGCCTGACATTTTGAAACATGATAGGATATTTCGCAAACTGACCTGGGGCGAGCTGGGCATTTTGAAGCCCAGGTTTTTCAAATCCATGAAGGCAGTAGTAGGAATTTGAGTCAACTCGACCTCATTTACTGTGTAAATAATTACCAAAACATTTTAATACAATGCAAAAATAAAAGTGTTGCCTTTGATTTTCTTTTGTTTATTTTTCTAAATATTGCAATAATTCAACCTGTATCATTTTGCTTCTTTTAAACAGTGGATATGATTACGAGATTTTAGTCATAGATGATGGAAGCCCAGATGGAACCCTGGAGATTGCTACACAATTGCAGGATATTTACGGAAAAAATAAAATTGTATGTAGGCAAACCATGGATTTTATCTCAGTGGTTAACCTTTTCCAGCTAAAATTAATGGGATGAGTGGTGGTTAGCCATGAACCCTAGAAGCCTAGGCATATACTGTTTTTAATTTTTTTAAAATTAAAAAAAGACTGTATAAGTATTTTCTATTGAACTAAGAAATGATAAAATTTGTTTTTTAATGTACCTATTACTGTTATTTTGTTCTAAAGTTATGCTTTTATCATATGGTTGCAGGTACTTCGACCAAGAGCCAAAAAACTTGGATTAGGTAACTCAATTTTAGAAATTATTAAATATAAATTAATAATTTGGCAAAAGTAATATTACTGATTTGTAAATATATGTGCTTAAGTGTTCAGTATGTAAGCAGTATTTGTGACAAAGACAAACCAAACCAGTCACTCGTCGCAAATCCTGTTTCAGAGATAATGGCCAAAACATGCTGTAAATGTCACAATATTTGAAATTAATTTTATTACACTAAACTAACCTTTATATATCTATATATCATGCTATGCTGTTATTTTTCCCATTTTCAATGTTAAAAAACAATCATTTTTAATGATTTGGTAATGGTTGCTGCCAAAATCATAAACTTTGAAAGCTGATTCCACAAATATTGTTTTTAAACAGCTGTATGTTTAAACTTCTGTAACTTCATAACGAGATGTCAGATTTAAATGATTATTTTACCATTTTATAGCTTTCATTTTACTATTTAACGCCGTATTAACTAAAAATTGATATTTGCAAGTGACTGGTTTGTCTTGTATTTGCCACATTTACAAAGATATGGGCTTAAATGTATATTTAAGGTTCAGATATATTTACAAATCAGTGATCACTATATATCTACTTAAATAAAGATGATAAAGATATTAGAACTTTCCAGAGAGTCCATCAAACTTTTTTAGTTACACTGATGTTTTGTGGAACCTTAGCAATACTATGTGGTGAGAATTAGTAAAATTGTTCATTATGCTCATGTTTGTGGGTTTAACCCTGGTGAAAGTATCTTTCTCACAACCGTAAACATCTCACTTCACAAGTCATAAAGTGACTATACTGTATTTACTTTTACTATGTAACTATATTGTATCTTTCAGGGACGGCATATATCCATGGAATCAAGCATGCTTCTGGCAATTTCATTTTCATTATGGATGCTGATCTATCGCATCATGTGAGTAAATACAGGTCTCCCTCTAATTAAAGACCCCTCCAATTAAAGACCACCTCCAATTAACGACCACTTTTTTTTGGTCCCATATTAACAATGTCTTATATCTTTATTATTCTAATTAGAGACCAAAGCTGCTAAAGACCACAGAAACCCCGGTCCCAAAAGTGGTCTTTAATTTACAGGAGGGAGACCAGTAATCATTTTTTCTTGTCAGCATATTACTCAAATAATTAAATAATTAACATTTTATTTGTTATTGTAAATTTTGCATGATGCTCTCTTCTACCGCAGTTTAACTTTGTTGAATCAGTTATTAAATTAATCTACAATTTTCTTTTCAGCCAAAATTTATTCCAGAATTTATAAAGTAAGTGTACTGTACATTTTTCCATAGCCTAACATATCACATAATGCTTCCACTGTAACTTACAATTACTTATTTACAAAGTAGTTTAGTATTAAATTTTATGGTTTAATAAGATGTTTTATTTTTACACACAGAAAACAAGAGGAGAATGATTTTGATGTTGTGTCAGGAACAAGGTACACAGGAACTGGTGGCGTTTACGGATGGGACTTCAAACGAAAACTTATCAGGTGACTTATAATCAATGTAACAATGAATTGATTATAATGATTAATAATTCTGCATCTCACTAACTGTTCCCAAGTTTTTTTCCTTGTCAAACATCTCTTCAGCATCTTAGCAAGATATACAACATATCAACATTTTTTTTTCTCCGAAGTCTGACTTTAATAATAGCATCAGAATAATATGATTTTCTATATTTTCTTTTGAAGTCGTGGTGCAAATTATGTGACTCAAATATTGTTGCGACCAGGAGCATCGGATCTGACTGGAAGTTTTAGGTAAGTATCATAAAAGCTGTCTGCTGATTGTATGTATGAAGTGCTGTAAATAAAGCTATTTATTGAGTTTTTATTCTCTTTTAAGATATATATTGTCTGCGTAAGAATCTGATATAAATACTCTCTGACACTCAATTAAAACAGTAAATTTCATATTTAAAGTGATGGAAAATATTAACCTCTAATGAGAAACAGATAGTGACAGTTCAGTGTTCACTAATTAGATTTTTTGACTTTTCATTTTCTACCACAGATATACAAGGGTTTCAGTACATCTTTTAAATGTTGCAGATGCCAAGTTTAACACCAATAAGACTTAAATTTTTAAAAAACAAATGTACTTATGAATGCTGATGAAAAGTAACCAATTTATTTGTTTATATTAAATTCAGGTTATATAAAAAAGACGTTTTACATAATCTAATTGAGGCATGTGTGTCGAAAGGTTATGTTTTTCAAATGGAGATGATTGTTCGGGCGAGGCAGTTAAACTACACTATTGGAGAGGTATGTACTAATCTATTTCTTAGCTCGCAAGTGTGCCATTCCCTGTCAAACAGTGGCGTATGAATCAGGCCTGACTAAGGCTTCTTTGGGCTCTGCTACACTGGGGCATTGGTCATGTAGGGACTAGAGGGGTGCGGGGAAAATCGCTCGTCCTCTCTGGCGTTTTATGTTTTCAAAAGGCGTATATTAATTTTTGTTATCAATAAAATAATGGCTGATTGATGTCCCAAGACCCTTAAAGTCGAAGTTCCAGGTTTTTGCTGAAGGGAGCTCATGGGAGCTTCTCACTTTTCATTCTCTGGACTGTCCTGCCTGCAAGAGATGGCTTATATGTACTGACTGAATTACTATTCTCTCCCCAATGGTTGAAAATACTTTGGGCAAGTTGAATGGCAAAGCAGTAAGGCAGGGGCTCTGCCAACTACAGCCTTAACATTGGCGCTGGTCCAGCTGCTGCTTGCCCAGGGTTGGGTTGGTAAAACCAAGCTTTCTTGGATAAGGACTTAAAATGGAGGTCCAGTGTATACATCTGGCTTGTGTGCACTTTAAAAACCCATTGCATCTTTCGAAAGAGTAGGTGGTTACCCCGATGCGATGGTTCATTTCAGCTCCTGTTGTTGTGGAATGATGTGAACATGTAGCTACCATGAAGCGCCTCTTTACGGCTGCTAGGTAGACACAGACCACGCTCATACGCAATTCAGCACAATGACGCTGCAAGTTATGGGTTATTCTCCTACCTTTATGTATATACGTTTTTTCCCCTTCCTACAGATAATGCTATCACCATCCTCAAGCATTTAGGGCTTTCTATTAAATTGACATTACATATTTATCTATTTTTCCAGGTTCCTATAACATTTGTGGACAGAGTGTATGGTGAATCTAAACTTGGTGGAAATGAGATTGTTGGATTTGTAAAAGGACTTTTAACCTTGTTTGCTACAACATAGATGCTGTATATAGGAACCTCAAGTTATTGCATTATTTTTTTTAATTTCGTCAGCACAGTATTGTTTATTTTATTTTGATAGCGGGCATCAAACAGATGCATTTTTTTGTGTGCCTTAAATGTGTGTTTTACTAAGCTTTTTACAAAGACCATATCAATAGAAAACTCAAATGAAAAGCTCTCACTGGTTGAAGCCCGGGTTCAGACCTTAAAAGAGAACTAGCAAAATGATTTTTTGTTCTAGAGGGGAATTTTGATATGCCATTAATAGAATCAACATTAAAATCGTTTTTTGGCAATTGTTTATGAAGTTATATACGATTTTACCGTGACGTCACTGGCTAAAAAGTAATAAAAAAATCATGTAAATAGCGCTGCGTAGGGTATTTGCTGCGTACAATCTTTACGTGCATGCTGTAACCAACGTGCAGCGGTTGTCAACAGAAGAGTTACAACATTCACGCAAAGATTGTATGCGGCGGATACCCTACGCGGTCATCATGATATATCAGCAAGACCATAACAGATTTTAAACCATCAAAAATGTTGTAGCATACCCCACTGTATCTTACTTGCCCAGGCCTCTGTGTTATACCACTGTATATGAAGCATGCCATCCCAAAACCAGCGTACTGTATGTTAGAGTAATTAGTATAAAAAGTGTCCATATTGTATAATTCCATTAAATGACCCATCATTTTAAATCTTGGGAGGATATAAATAAATGAAAAATCAATTTTCATATTTTTGGGATGGCATGCCCCATATGATTTATTGAGTAATGACTACAAAGAAAGATTTGGTAACTTTTCAATTTTTTATTTATTGCATGACATGCAACAATACAGATATAATTAGTGAGAACTATTCAAAATATTTAACAGATAAAAAATTAATATAAAACTTCAACAATATGTTTTATCAAGATTAACAAGAGTATGAGACTAGAAATGAAAATAAATTATCCAATTATGCAATTTTTATGAGTCTTCATTTGTATTAAACAATTATAAATTTACAGTAATATCAGTATTAATGTACTGTATTGCTAAGGTTTGAAAATTACCTAATATGCACTATTAACCTATTTTACAAAACAAATCTACTGTAAATATTTGGTCATTCTTTGAAACCAATGAAAATCTTATTGTATTACAAGTACATAAAAATCTGAAAAAAATCATTGACAAAACACAATTACAATACAATTTGCATAGATCTACATCACCACATCAAAATACTGATAAACTTTATTTCAAATTGCTCCTAATAATTAACATAAGAACATATATGGGATAGAAAGTTATTCAAAAACAATATCATTGTCATAAAAAAATAAACATCTAATGCGAAAACCCGATGCTGAGAATGAATGAAATTATTGACAATGCTTATTTTGTAGCCATAGTCAAACAATTGTTAAAAAGATCTACATATTGGATTCCATAACCTTTCAAGGTTTTAAGTTGTTTGCCTAAGCTCTATATGGTATATTATTGTTACTTAAACCCACAGTACATACATGCATATAGAAGTTTTTGCCTTGCTTTGCTTCAACTTGAGTTAAGCTACCTATAAAAAATACATTTTAACCATTGGTGCAATGTTGAGAATTCCATAGCCAGCATTAAATTGTTACAGTACTCAACTGTTTCAAGCTCCATATTTTTGTCATATTTAAGTACTTGACTTAATCCAATGATTTACTTGCATTCCTTGATAAGCTGCGTCAGCTTGGCATTCACTTGATTCAACTCCTTTTTCTTGTCAATTTTTATGTATTTCTCCTTTCGCAAATTCACAACTTTAATCCAGTCTGGTATCATCTCTGCTAAAAGGTTAATATGCTCCTCAGCTTCCACTGAAAAGAAACCAAAGAAAATATTAAATTGAATTATCTTTTGTAAAAGGACCATGAAGGATAGACACCCTGATCAAAATATGCGAGAGGGCGCTGTACATCTTAAAATATTCACAATGGCAGATCTAGGAATTTGAAATAGAAGGGACCAGGGTGGGACTTTCACTGCCTCAGCCCTACCCTGGTCTGACGTAAGAACATTTATGATTATAGCACATCTAGATGGCTGGAAATGCACTCTCAAGACTTCAATTTGAATATACTAATGCGGAATATATTAATGCGGAAAATGGCTACATGTACACTCGGCAGGTGGAAAACGGCGCCGCGAGCACCCCTTCTAGGGATGGATATGTGTGCCTAACAAAATGACATTAATATTATTATTATACTATACTGTAATTTCCTATTTTTGTTTTTGTTTTTTTATAATTTTAAAAATTTAGGGGTGGGGGGTCTGGCCTCCTGGCTGAGGATTACCTTGAGAAAGGCTGGATCTACTGCTTTCCCTCAACTTGTCAACAGCTGATTCAATGAGTAAAGCTGCTTTTTTCTCCGATAAAAAGAAACTGAATGAACCATTAAGGAATTGACTTCACAACCATTAAAATAGGCTGAAACAATAATACTGTACTTAATATGTAGCATTTATATACTAATCATATGCTTCATCAATACATTAAATAATTTAAAATTGTGGTTGTCCAACAAATGGAATTCATTGTTATTAAGTACAAAATTAGTTCTTCAAACTGACCAATACAGTGATAAAAAATAAGTAATTAATAATAATGCCCATATTCTTAAAACGAACCTTAGTCGAACTTTGAACTAGAACTTCATTTAGTCCTAGTTGCAAATTCAACTTCAATTGAACTAATTTTAATAGCAGACAAAATTTTAGAGATCCGGTAAACACGGATAAATATTAAGCTGTTGTCAGTGGTTCAAAAACATATTTCCCCATAATTCATAATAGACCATCATTCGCTTAATTAATTTTCTATAATAATAACTACAGTATAAATTAGTTATTATTACCATAGAGAATTTGACCAGTCACTGAAAATTTAGTTGTCAATAGTTGGAGAGCACAAGCGGCGCCATTTTGTGACTGCAATGCGTGGGGATTTTGTGCAAATCAGGAACTATCACAGGTGCCTAGCAAAACAGGTTAATTTCGCCTTTTGGAAGCTAAACTTAATGTCGCTTTTATTGAACATACCGAAGATACATCAGATCTACTTATACAATCGTTTTTAATGGGGTAAATATTTCATGTCGGCGATTTAAATTAGTTTGACCCTAGGCTGACTAAAAAAATCAGCCTGTGGAGGTATCATTTTAGTAGGTTTGTGTCCTTTAGTCGTAGTGCTAGTCGAAGTTTATTATAAGCATACAAAATTACAATTTTTAAGTTGTAGCTTGAACTACGACTAAAGTTTGTTTTAAGAATACCAGGGTTACACTAGACGACAATACATCAGACAAAATTACCTAGGATGTTTGATGCATGCATTACAAGACTTTAAAACTATAAAGACATTTTTGCACTAACATTTATTTCCTTCCAGAGGTTACCTGATACCAAGATACACTAAAGGGTTTTGGTATGGACAACTGATGCAATTGCAACTGACAATAATTATAAATTATTAATAAGTTTTATTCATAAAAAGGATACTTTCTAATAATACCACACATTTCAGGAAGTCTCTCCATCATTGCTAATTTCTTGTCTTCCTTTGGATCCCTCACAAGAAGTTGCTCAATCCTCTTCGCTTCTTTTGCTCTTATCTAGAAAATAAAACAAATTTCAATACAGTAACTGTACACAGGGAACCAAACGCTTGTATGCCTAAGCCCCGTGATAAGCCAATAAACACAGACAGAAAAGCACTTCTGCTAGTAAATTACATTTAAAGTTCATTATCTTACCCTATCCAGAAGTGACTTCGAAACTCCCTTTACTTCGCTGCCTTTTGATGTTGATGGTTTATCACTTCCTTTTTGCTTGTTTTTATCATTCTTGAATTTGTCCGAGTTTTCTGCCACCAGATGCAGAGCTCGAGCTACCCTCGGGGACATCATGTCCTTGGCCTTGTCTAGGACATCTTTGGCTGTATGGTACTTCAGGACATTAGGTGGTTGAGGGAGGTCATCTGGTTGGATGTCAGGAACCTGATCCAGAGGGAACTTTGGATGCCATCGTTTAAGTTGCTTATCAGGAATGGAGATTGGCTGTGGAAGTCTTGCGAGAAATTCCTAAAAACAAAATGACATCCAAAGATTAAAGTTAGGTACAATCAAAGAAGTGATCTCACACACACACACACAGTGGATTTACACATACTCAAGAGTTGTCTAGTGTCTACATGAATACATAATCCTGCACATACAGAAGATGACCATTATACACCTAGTGTGTAGTGATACAAATCAGTAGCTTACCTTGTGATGTTCTTTAACGATATCGACGAGGTTACTGTGGAAGATGTTCCTTCGCTCTATCAGTGCCGAAGCAATGACACGTGGCTGACCAGCTTTTGTAACAGTCCCACCTTGAAGGAAAATGAGAAATTTTCATCATTGCAATAGTAATGAATTTTTGTTATATTCAAGTATATATAATCCAGTATGTTCAATAACATAACTCAATTTATTTTTAACCTTTCATATCCATCATCTCAAGAGCAAAAAAATTTAGCTTTTCAATTAAATAACATTCACACAACTGAGTTCTGTACAGTGAATATGTTTACACAGCATAATCTATGTAAAAGAAATTCTATAATAAATATATATAATGAATTATTATTAATTCCAAGCATACTGTACATTATTAGATGTTTATGAAGCATTTTCAGATTTTCTACAGCCATTGAAAGACTTGTGATTTGTATCTGATTGGTTGTAAACACTATCACACAAAATATGTTCAACATTGCTTGACAGACAAAAAGTTAATAGGATTTCCTAAAAATTCTAACACAATGAGCCAGTCTTAGAATTTAATAAAAAATGGAACATACCACTATCACCCAGAGAGACGTTAGGATCAATGTTGAGCTGATAATCGCTTTCACCCTTGCTACGTTCACGCTGCTGCTGGGCTGAGTTCTTTCGCTGGCAAAAGTTGTACGCCGTTGAATACACCTTCTTGATTTGTCCAACATGGTGTAATTGGAATGTTCTATGGTAAAGACAAAAAATCATCACTAAATGCAGCAAAAAAAAAAAAAAAATCACATTTTACAAATCAAATCTAAACAAAATAATACACGGCCAGAATAGGGACATCTTGAAGCAGTGGCATATAAGATGTTCCTTCGCTCTATCAGTGCCGAAGCAATGACACGTGGCTGACCAGCTTTTGTAACAGTCCCACCTTGAAGGAAAATGAGGAATTTTCATCATTGCAATAGTAATGAATTTTTGTTGTAGTATATAATTATATATAAGTATATATAATCCAGTATGTTCAATAACATAACTCAATTTATTTTTAACCTTTCATATCCATCATCTCAAGAGCAAAAAAATTTAGCTTTTCAATTAAATAACATTCACACAACTGAGTTCTGTACAGTGAATATGTTTACACAGCATAATCTATGTAAAAGAAATTCTATAATAAATATATATAATGAATTATTATTAATTCCAAGTATACTGTACATTATTAGATGTTTATGAAGCATTTTCAGATTTTCTACAGCCATTGAAAGACTTGTGATTTGTATCTGACTGGTTGTAAAAACTATCACACAAAATATGTTCAACATTGCTTGACAGACAAAAAGTTAATAGGATTTCCTAAAAATTCTAACACAATGAGCCAGTCTTAGAATTTAATAACAAATGGAACATACCACTATCACCCAGAGAGACGTTAGGATCAATGTTGAGCTGATAATCGCTTTCACCCTTGCTACGTTCACGCTGCTGCTGGGCTGAGTTCTTTCGCTGGCAAAAGTTGTACGCCGTTGAATACACCTTCTTGATTTGTCCAACATGGTGTAATTGGAATGTTCTGTGGTAAAGACAAAAAATCATCACTAAATGCAGCAAAAAAAAAAAAAAAAAAATCACATTTTACAAATCAAATCTAAACAAAATAATACATTGCCAGAATAGGGACATCTTGAAGTGGGGGGGGGGGGGAGATAGATGATTAGGTGAGGTTGAGCTAGTTCGCAAAGGTGATTTCTAACTACTTCAGCATATTTCTTTTTCTTTCCAAAATTTTCAATGAGGGAGGGGGAGAGTATTATTTTTGGGGCGTGCATCCCCGCGCACCCCCTAGATACGCCAAGTGTTGTGTAACAGTACTTGAACATTTGACAAAATATACTTTCACTTACTTTCTACACATTTCTTGTACAGCATCTTTTAACTTCTTAAATGTACACTGCTCTGATCTGTTATGTAGCATGCTGACAACAGTATCCATACTGCGGAACATTTCATGAAGAATTTTGTACTTGTACGGCAGTGCAAGTGTAGCAGGTGGTGGTGTCGCAAGAGAGTGATACTTCTGATATGCAGGCATTCTGAGAAAATCGTGTACAAATTCTTCAGATGAGGCAGACGTTTAGATTACAGTATTCAGGCTGACATACCAAAACCACTTAGCAGCCATTAACAGTGAAAGCCAGGTCTGCAGTAAGCAAATCCTACCTCTCATTGACAAAATTACATTACAAAGTGTACAGTGTATTTATTTGCAGAGGAATAAAAAATGAGTGAAATATTCTTACATCTTGCTTTCATCCTTGGTTTTCGGAGCTTGCTTCTTTAGAGCTTTTTGAGCATCTTCCTCCTTTATTTTTTGGGTTTCTTCCCTTACTGCCGCCAACCGCTTCTGTAACTCCTCAAGTTTACCGCATTTAGCTAGTTTTTCTCTCATCACTTGAGCAGATGACTTGGCAGCATTCTTTAGAAAGGAAAAAAAATGTGACATTTTTGTTAGTTATCCAAAGATCTTATAAACAGAAGATAGTGTTCTCCGCAATTTCTGCATGCAAATTCTGTAATAACGCAGCTTATGGCACCCTCTTGCAAAAGTGATTACTTTGCAACTTTGACCGCTTTGACCATAGCATACACCGCGCGACTTTACCCTTACGCGTAACAATTACAATTTACGATTTACAATGAGCGCTCTTTAAAATAAAGGATCAAAACGTACTTGGTAACAAAGTTTGGCGTGACGCGAACACCTTACATGGCAACAACTAAAGCGCCCTCTCCTAAAAGTGATTACTTTACTGCCAAATCAACGATTCTATTTTGTTGCACGTAAATCGCGGAAAACCCTATAAGTTCTTCGATGTTATCCCAAAAATAAGAAATTGAGAGGTATAATTTTTTGATTACTTGTTTGCGCCTTTGGCTGTGTCGTGTTAAGTCAGGCACTCACTACGCCCCACGGTCGATGGCAGACGCGATGTAAATAGAACGCAACTCACAATGCGTGCTCAACAGATCATTTTTAATAACGATAAATAAGTTCAGACTACCACTGACAATCAGCAGATAGAGCCGTGTCGTTGAGCACTCACAGGGAGTGCCCCAAAGTAGCGAAAGGAATTGCGGTCTATTGTAGGCGCTATACAGCATCTCCCTCCTCACCTTCGCTTCACTAACAACAGCAACCTGTTTATTTGTTACAGCAACTTTCTTTATCATATTTTCCACTTTATCCTTCATAGGGGTCTTCAGTAGAGATGCAGACTTGGATGATATCTGCTTAGAACCTTGTGAAACCTTTGTAGAAGCACTTAACTCCTCAGTAGGCTAAAAATTAAAAACATAAGCATTATTTTCATTCATAGATCATGAATATTAAACTTAGACATATATTTTGTCATATAATAGTAATACAATATGTTTAGGTCCTAAATGAAAATTAATTTAAAAAACTACATATTTTTTATGCAACATTTAATGCCTAGAGGCACTGTTTGGTTGCCCCAAAAATTGGGCCAACAGGGGTTGTCTGATTAGATTAGAATTGGTTAATTAAGATAAAATGCTGATTGTCTTGTCCCATTCATAATATTTAATTTTTTGCCAATGGTGAGTGTTTCGCCGCTTAGTAGAGGTTGGAAGTGATGTCAAACTATGTCTCTTTATGATGCTCCACTCCCTTTTTTATTTTACTTTTAGCTGTTGTGAGACAAAAACATCCTGTTGTCACATGATCTGAACCCCCAAAGAACAGAATCCTTGGATATGGCAAGCATCTTAACCACCAAGCTACAGCTCCAGAGGACAACGGGTGCATACATGGCTGAAGAGGGGGGGAAATTTCCCTCCAAATCCACGCTAGTGCCACCACTGAAACCTAGTCTACACCTCAATACATTATTAAGTCGTGTACCGTCTGTTGTAATGCTGATTCTTCGTCCACAGAGAATTTTGCTAAAGCACCATCCAAACATTTCTTTGCCGTTTTTCTTCCTGCCACTTTATAGGTTCTAAATTGGACAGATTCCGGGCCACTTAAGTCTTCTGATGAAGTCTCCTTCGAAATAGTCTTGCTTCGTTTTAGTGCAACTGGTACTGCTGTTACTGTTTTACCCCTTTTAGTTGGTGTTGATGGGGGTGTGCGAGGGATACCATGATCGTCATTGGCTTCAGTTATCTCAAACTTTGGACCTGAACTTTCAGAACCTGTGTCTGAGAGCCGAAGTTCAACATCACTTGTTGATTGTAAGCCAGTTATGGTGGACATGAAATCCTTTATTGAGGAAGATCCAGTCTTTTCTCCTTTCTTCGTTTTTGGTTTTCGACGACTTCTTACTGAAGATTTTTTCCTGGTTGATTTCGTCTGAGTAGGGACCACTGTAGGCTGAGCTGCCGCCGCTATGAGTTTCGGGTTTGTATCAGCTGATTGTTGAAGTTCGGGGCCTGGCTTCTGCTGGCTGAACGTAAAGACTGGTTTACCACTTATTTCAATATTATCCTCATTAAATACAGGAGATGCTTCCATTGAACTGTTCGAATAGGTAACTTTTCTACGCTTTGACGGCTGAATATCAAGCGACCGTTTACGTGATCCATAGTAAAATGTGACTTTAGTCTGAGCCATTTTACAACGTACTGCGAAGAATTCCACTGAGAAGAATCGCTCAAGCCTCTTGTTGTCAAATTGGATTATTCGCGCTAGCCAGTCACATGCTCAGCTCAGACTATTCCATTACATATAATAAACATTTTATGTTTGTCATATTAATATAACGTTAATAAATATACTTAAATTTCTCAAAATATTTTTCGTAATTATACTAAAATATATTTTTAAGCTAAATCTATGCTGTATTAGAATAAAGTGTATATTATTTCCTGAGTACATTTAATAATATTTAATTGACACCCTCCACATTAAATAAAATAGTCTTTAAGCGTCCCTTTAATGTTACAGAAATGGTCAAAGGTCATATGATGAGGAACGCGGAAATGAAAATATTGGGATTGAATAGGTTGTTAATATCCTCGAAGATCTAGGCCTAAATACAGTTAAATCTATTGTCAACGTTTTTTGTCAAATATATTCGTTGTAGGCCTTAGTTCTGCAATTGGTACTGATCCAAAGACAGCTCGAGTCGAATTATAAACACCGAAAATGGGAATGACATCGCAATGGGAATGGGCTATGTGGGCCAACGAACACGCCTTTGTCAGTGGAATCAGTAAGTGCAAACAATGAACTGAAAGCGTTTCTTCTTGCTAGGCTAGGCCTAGACCTACTGTCTCTAGGATTTTATTGTTAAAAATAAATAAAGAAATCTACAGAGTTGATGGGAAAAGTGACAGAAATCTGTATTGAAGAATATTTCACTAGAGCTTCTGATGAACTATCGTTATAATGTAGTAGGCCTAATTAATATTAATAAGCAGAGAAGGTATTTCTTGAGTGATACATTACTGAATACTGGCTGAGCCTTGATTGATTTTTTTGGAAATTCATTAAAATTTATAATTGAAAATTACATATTGTTTTATAAAAAAAAAAATATGTTTTTGTTTATCTCATTTCAGTTCTAGTGATGGGAGGAATCGTTGGTTCATTCGACTTTTCTGGAAAGGAGTTTGCCTACTACAGCATGTATCCTTTGATAGGCGTATAATAAATTAAAAGTCATCATCTGGGTGCAAATTGTGTTGTTAATTGTCTGGCAGTAATCTAGGATGATTTATATGAGAATATTTTTTGTAATATTATATTACAAAAACCAAAAGTTGCGCTGACTATGTTCAAAATAAAATAGAACTGATGATGACTTTATTAAAATCGAAATGTTGAATTAATATGGCATCTCTCTCTATTTTGAGTCACTTTTGTTTTATTTATTTTATATTAAAATATGTATGTCAATATATTTTTGTATAGGATATTGCCATTTACTATGTTTTATGTCATGATTGTTTCAAATTGCAAGAAAACAATGCAATGGTGATGGTTCCTCCTCTGCAATAGTCTGTTCTATTGATTTTTGAGTTCCGTAGAAGCGCTAGATTTTTGTTTTGTGTAACATCAACGCATAGAAACCATATATTATACGCTATACAAATCTCCAACCATTACCGTATTGTTGAATACAGTAAAGAAAATATTCATGAATAAAGATCGAAGATTGTTTTTCTTTAACTGTACTGCACTAGAGTTGCTGGTGTATTAGTCACCTTTTTAGAATATCCGAGAGGTACAAGGATGAATGGAAAGGTTGTCCCAAGAAGGTAGGCCTACATATAAATTCATTATTTTCAAACCACCTAAGCTTCAAAATAGATGAATGAAGTACAAGATGGTATGCTGTGTACTATGAGATTTTAACTTGCTTATGGGAGTGCAACTACAGTGCAGAATGCTGAACTCCAATTTTCAGGAGACAATGCAACTCGGAACTACTTTATGTGTCTCTAATAAACCAAGTGTTTTCCATGTGTTTACAGATTTCAATCCAAAATCTCACCAATTGTTGATGCATTAGGACCAATCAGCAGAAGTTATTTCATTCGATTTGTACTGTATTTACTGTAAGTAGCGCACACACTTGGATTAAATATTTTTGTTTTGTAATTAAATTTTTAAATTGTACTACTGTAGTATTTTTTTAAACCTGCAAACTCTGTGTCTGTTCAGTTTACGATAATAAAATATCATGATGTTGAAACTCATTTTATGTTGTAAATTCTTCAATTGGATACAGGGAAAGATCTACGATGGTATGGGAGTAGCATTAATTGAGCGTCTGTAGGCTGAGTGGGTAGGGTTGAAGGTGTTCCTCTTCTAGAATAACCATAATAATGATTAAATGCACTTTGGAAATAATGTAAAATGATTAGATCACTCTGTTCAATAATTACTGATCCATTAGGAACTCATGTAACTACCTTTGTTGTATTGTATTGGACAGCTTCCTGTTAAAGTTCAAAATCATAGTGAATCAGCAATATAATGTTAAGTAGGATATAAATTGTACTATTACAGAACAAGAAATGTGAAGTGACATATGAAAACAGGGAGATTTATATCAAAAGAAAAAAATAATCCCATTTTTAACATTATTATTTTGTTTCATGTTTTATATTAGAATGTCAGTTCCAACAGTGTTTTGTTTACCAACGATCATGAGTGGGGTTTCGCTGTTCTTTGCGGCTATTATGTATTTCGTGGCAGCTCTCGGAGGTGAAGAATGGAGGCCGGAGAGCGTGAGCAGTCTTGCGAGGCAGAAGACGCTAACCCAGCATGCCCCGATGAACCCACCCCCTCGTCCACCCCAGGCTAAGGGGGAGAGAGCTGCAGCAGTCAACATCGAAGGAAATAACATCTGAAAGTAGGAAATATAGAATCCCACAAGCAAATCATAACAATGTGAATGCTGGCATAGTGCTATTTTAAAAGTGTAGAATTAGTACATGCAATTCTATAAAAATAATTTTTGTGAGTCTTTGAGACTTTTTTCTTGTATTACGAAATGGGGGAAGAGGATAATAATAAAGAAATCTTGTTTATTGTTTTTAATATGATGTCAATAGACGTATTGTATATCAATTTTTTGTAATAATCATTTTATGTTATGTGTATACGAAAAAAAAATGCATGCATCACAATTTTTGTACAACTACACTGTAAAAATCTGTTTTTCCATTTTTATTTTAATACTTCTATATGAATACAGTATTTATATGTACATTAATTGTGATTTATATGAAATGCAGCAAATTTTTAGATTTGTGTGTCTAACTAATAACATGTCTTTTGAAAGTCATTCAGTATTAGAATTTTATACATATCTTTTATACTGTATATAGCCGTTATGCATTTTTTAGCTGTTATGTTCCTTTTTATGTACTATTTTAAGATTATTAAAATGGTTGACCCATTTCCAAGACAAAAATGATATGTAAAACAGCAGTGTACCCTGACGAAATTATAGCCTTTACTCCTGCAGGGGGTTTAGGGTCTCCCTTGCAAGTTTACCAAATGTCTTTTGAACTATAAGGTACATACCGTAAAATCTCGAATTGAAGCCCAGTGGGCTTAATCTCGAGATGAAGCCCATCTCGAATTCAATCCCCCTCTTTAGTTTGCAAAATTAGCTTCGAAAGAAGCCCATCTTGAAAAGAAATCCATGGGCTTTTTTTCAAGATAGCATAGGCTTCTTTTAGAGATAGTACAGTACATACACTGTTCACGAATTTCAGAAAAAAAATAGTAAATTAAATACAAGCTTGGTTTATACGGTAGTTTAGGTGATTTAGTGCCAGTTAAATACACTCCATGATACAGATTGATGTTGCAGTGGCCTTATTTATTGTTTTATAGTACAAATTCACAAAATTTACAGCATTCATTTTGAAAAGTAGCCCCCCCCCCCAACCTCTTTACTTTGCAAAAGTAGTCTCAAAAAGAAGCCCATCTCGAAAAGAAGCCCATCCAAAGTTCGCAAAAAAAAAGAAGCCCAGGGCTTCAATTCGGGGTTTTACGGTAGTGTTCCAAAGATTTAAAAAAACAATGACTTATAATAAACTTTATCATTCCAGTGAGGCAATTTTTGTTAAAACTAGAATCGAGGAGAAATAAAGAGAAAAGACACTCAGAATACTTTTGGGAACAATTGGTGACCTAATATGAGTTCATCAGAGCCCAAGTACTTTCTTTGAAAATTAAAATCTGTGTGTACAGTTGTATGAAATAGATTGCACTATACTCGTACATAAACTCTTCTGTGGCTAGATCTAAAGGCACTGGTATGTTTTAAGGTCTTTGTCGAGGTAATCTTTCTCTCGCTCGTGAAATCTTTTTTTTTTTAAAGTAATAAAGTATATTTTTAGAGGAAATATGTTGACAAGGCTTCAATGTTATTTACTGTAATAGATAATATATTAATCTGGAGTTTGAATTTTTCAATGTATAAATACAATAGACAATTACATTTTTTACCTTTTCTTTTTTTCCCTAATCCTTTTATCAAGGACACGTAACATAAAACATAGCAAACAGGAACAGCAAACAAAAATGACAAATGCAAAAGGACTAGTTGCAGACTGTCCATTTACCAGGCTTAACTTAGTTTAAAAATGAATAGTAACAATGAAAATACATATTATTTACTATAATTATAAGTATGAAGTTTTGCATTGCTGGTTTTGGGTATATATATTTTTAGCCGGCAGAAAACAAATCTCTGTATGCATAATATGGACGAATAGAAGTATCTGATTATAATATATCAATATAGTTTTAATATCGTTAGGGCTCAAGTACTACAAATGTAATTAAGTTAAAATAGATCTTGAAAGTGCAATGCTCCCATAGATACGAGAAAAAATAAGTCTAAAAAGATGAAGCATAAAATTCTACTTACATGATCTAACTCACAACCGACGATTTGGAAGCCGATTCCAAAATTAATTCCTCAGGATTTCTTGTCTTCTCTCATGGGACTGACTATATTTCAGAAAATTCATAAAAAAAATCAGTCAATGTACATAATAATCACTATTTGTCGTCATCATCATCAACATTATTATTATTATTATTATTATTATTATTATTATTTTATTATTATTATTATTATTATTATTATTATCGTTATTATTATTATTATTATAAACATGATAAAAACAATAGCTGATACTATCATTTTTTTCAATCAGCTTTTAAACTTTATTAGCGTTTCCGAGATTATTACATTTTACTTCAGTGCACTGATTTTCTACTTATAGGGTATTATTATATTATATGCTTTAAATAAACTTTTTTTTTTACTCATTGAATGTTGAACATAGGCATATAGATGAGCGTATATTCTGAACGTATATCTTTTAGATCTACTTAGAACACCGTAAACCTCGAGTAGGCCTACAGACAGTGTTTTGAAGCCCTTAGCGTCTTTTTTAGGTCCCTTTGCATGCAATGGTTTCTTTTTCAGATGGCTTCCTTTTCGAGATTAATTGCAAACTAATGAGGGAGCTATTTTCAATAGCCCATGCTACAGTATCTTGAATTGAGATGGGTTTCTTGAGATTAAGCCCCGTTTGGCCTTCTATTAGTGGTTTGACTGTATTCTGAAATGGAAAAAGGAAAGCACTTTTTTTACAAGATACAAGATAGATACAAGTCATGAACTTTATTGTCAAAAAAATAAATTCTGAGATATTTTTGTACATAACATAGAAGTCGTTTATAAATGTGATAAATATCAATTAAAAATTCTCCAGTATTATAAAAATTGGAGTTTGTGTAGTTATCTTCTTAAGTTTTGATTAAATAGATTAAAAGCAATGTACAATGCTGAATGTCTGAAACGGTTTGTTGATATTTTGTGTTGTTTAAGTCTAACCCTTCCCGATCTATTTACGATGTCTGAGTATAATGGATGGGATGAGTCTTGCATAATTAAATTAAATTTCTTAAGTATAACATTTTTAAAGATATCTTCTAAGGGTTTCACATCGGCTCCAATCACTCTGCCAGCCTTGTTAACAATTCTCGATAGTTTACCTTTACTGTCTACGGTGATATGAGAAAAAAAAATAATACAATAAGAAAGGATTGACTGGACAACTGAGGAATATAACAAATGAATAAGATGAGAGTTAACATTCAATTTTTCATTACTAGACTATCCTCGAATATTAAGTCTACTTTCTGGGAACCACCCCCCCCCCCACTTTTTTTTTGTGTTGAAATACTTAGCCTATCTGTTGCGTGATCTGCTTGACACTTGTTATACAGATAATTTTTCGTAGAGTTAAGGCCTGTTTATACTTCAACGATAAAGATAAAAAAAGCTAAAAAGCGAATGTTCATAGAAAACAAAAGAAATAAGAAATCGATTTATCGTGTATACGATAACAAAATATTTTAACAAATCAAATCAATATCGTGGAAAAACGTTGTTGAATCGTTCTAGTGTAAAAACTTCTCATTTCTTTTATTTTCTATATGAACAATTATTGCTTTTCAGCATTTTTATCGTTATCGTTACAGTATACAGTAAACGGGTGCAGGTCAACTCGGCCACAAGTCAACTCGGCCACAGTCAACTCGGCCACAAGTCAACTCGGCCACAAGTCAACTCGGCCACAAGTCAACTCGGCCACAAATCAACTCGGCCACAAAAATTTTCGGCCACAAGTCAACTCGGCCACAAGTCAACTCGGCCACAAGTCAACTCGGCCACAAGTCAACTCGGCCACAAGTCAACTCGGCCACAAGTCAACTCGGCCACAAGTCAACTCGGCCACAAGTCAACTCGGCCACAAGTCAACTCGGCCACAAGTCAACTCGGCCACAAGTCAACTCGGCCACAAGTCAACTCGGCCACAAGTCAACTCGGCCACAAGTCAACTCGGCCACAAGTCAACTCGGCCAAAACTTTTTGTGGCCGAGTTGACTTGTGGCCGAGTTAACTTGTGGCCGAGTTGACTTGTGGCCGAGTTGACTTGTGGCCGAGTTGACTGTGGCCGAGTTGACTTGTGGCCGAGTTGGATCGAATTCCAGTAAACAGGCCTTTAAGAAAAACTTTCGGAGAGCGCCAACTAGCGTCTGTTTATATCATACTTTATTAGTAGTTGCTAACCGAGGGAGGTGTGGCTTCTTAGGGTGACGTCAGGAATAATCTTAAGCAATAGGCCGTTATCATTCTTTCATCTCATCCTACTGCTGCGAGTCACGACGGTGTGTTATCAAATACTCACAACGGTGTGTTATCAAACACTCACCACAGTAAAGTATAGTAAACAACAAAGTCATAGCTATAACGTGGCTTTTCCAAAATTAACCTTTTATGTCAATCAATGAAGCTCCGTTCTCGACTCAATCATGTTCTATTCATGTCTACTTCTTGGTTTTCTTTTCATCATCATTATCGTCATCATCATCATTATCATTGTTATCGACGTCGTCTTTGTCGTCGTCGTCATTATTTTGTTCACACTGAATACTCAGTTGTGTTGTATATGGTTTAATCTTGATATGTTGTTATCTCGGTTCCTTTTAATGAAATCTAATGATCTGTATAGGTTTTTGATGTGTGGTTCCAAGCTACGCTGTTCATATTCATTCAAAAATTCAACCACACCTCAAATGTTAATGCAATATGAAATAAATAAAACAATTAGTAAGCCTAGTAGTAATTTTTAGTGACAATGTTTATTTTGTTTTCTTCTACAGTACATGAAAATTACAAATTTTTAAAAAACATTATATTAATTCTTTGGAATGGTCTAATTTATTTTTTTTGCCTATTATAATTCTAAAGGCCAACTCAGACAGCGTCGACCGACGCAGCCCGACCCGATTTATCGTCGGGGACAGTCTAAAACCGTCGTCAGAAATATTAAACATGTTTAATATTCTACGACGCGACTGCCACCGACGCACACCATCGAGTCTGCGTTTAACCAACTCACACAGGCCCGACGCGACAACAAATCGCGTCGGGCTGCGTCGTACGACACTGTCTGAGTTGGCCTTTAGAATTATAATAGGCAAAAATAAAAAAAAATAAAAAAAAATTAGACCATTCCAAAGAATTAATATAATGTTTTTTAAAAATTCAAACGAAAGTTAATTATAACACTTAATTT